ATTAAAATTTAATTTAATATAATTATGTCATTTTTATTTATCAAATAAAGGAAAATTTTATATCGCTTATGGGATGACTCGACACTTTTCTAAGCATCCACTACGTGATCGAAGTCTTTCAACAATAAATCCACGGATTGTGATCTTGAAATCGCCCTGTCTGCCAAAGCAGATTACAGATTAGCTTGCCTTGAAGAAGCCAGTCGTTTGTCATGAGGAAAGATCAGCGCTCGAAATCGCGGGTATCCCCCATAAAAAATGTGGTGAAAGCTTTGACTTCACGGTCCATTGGGTTATTTTACAGTCTGCTAAATTTATAGGGGAAATATTTATTGTCGATAACACATCTACCGAGGTAATTCGAAATTTCATCGCGTCGAAGGAATGAAGCGTATCGAGAGGTCTTTGCAGCCATCAATTTGATTCCTTTTTACGAGTGTCGATTTTCACAAATGTTACGACTGTTAAACGTTTAATACGCCATTTGACATATTGCGGTCTTTACAATCTCGTTACACATCGGATTTTAAATATTTCAAGGATCGGAGTTTACTGCTAGCGGGGTATTGACGATCGAGCTTTATACTGCTATTAAACTTTCTACAAGTCGAACCTATGTACTTTAATCTAGACAGTAGCCTCTAACGTTACAAAATTACTTACTTATGATAGCCCTAGTTCCTGGAAATTGTAGTTATGCGAATGTATGCATTGCGCAGTTTTTCCTTTTACATTTATTGCATCCGATTAAGGGTCATTCTGGTCCACGCTTGCAAAATATTGTAATTGTTCAAATAATCAATAGAAAAATAAATAGACATAGATATGATTCAAAACTCATTTGCTTTTATTATTTCAATCTTTGAGAAGAAAAAATAATTATTGCTAATACAGAAATGTGCGCGATTTCAGTCTTTTTTTTAGCCAAACCTGTGTGTATCGAAAATGCGAATTGCCTCGGCGGCGGGATGGATATCTTTTCGTAGACTCAACGGATTTGAAAAATTTAAATAGATTCTTAATTTGCACGTCAATAGCTATCGCCGGAACTAGAATCAATCACTTTTCGGCAAAATTAACAAAATGGCGGATGTTTTAATAAAAAATATAATGGTTAAATTTCTGATGGGATTTTCTAAATAAAAAGTAGGGTAAAATGAATCAACTCGATCTAGTTCCGGCGATAGCCAAAGATATATTGAGTAAGCAGTTCAAATTTGAAATCAATTAGATAGTTTTGGAGATTTTTATCCCGCCAGGTCGGAAAACACTATTTTGAGTAAAAAGCATTTAAAGTTTCGGTAACCATTTCGGTAAACATTTCGGTAAACATTTTTCATACAGCATTCGTCTATATTTATCTGTCTCTTAATTAGCAACACCAGCTCCATACAGGATACCTTCGACCTCTTCAAAAGCTTATAAAAGCTCATTATTTTGAGTATAATAAGTAGGGATGAATCCGATTGCTGTTTTTCACAAAAATCAACTTTTGCATTCCTATGTATAAATAGCTGTAAAATTCAAAATACTTGGAATTTCTTCATAAAAATTGAACTACGTTTTTTTGGGATAGCGTATTTTGAAAATGTAATAAAAAGAAAATGTAATAAAAAAAAATTTGATTTTTGGAGACCAGAATGACCCCTTAATCCACGCAACCCCCTTGAAGCGATTAAAAGTCCGGCGTCTATTAATATTACCTACAGCTATCACAGGACAATTCTGATATATCGCGCTATTAAGCACGATACTACGGATTGTATTGTACGATATTACGAATATCGGAAATCGATGAGACCGCATTACAATTTTTCATACAGGAAGGATACGCATACCACTCGCATTACAATAAGGCATCTATCGTCTCGATCGGTCATCTATCATCGGAATTATTACGGTAAAATGTGTAGTGAATGTGTAGTGAGTGTGGCGACGTTAAATATTTGGATAGTGGAAATTGTATTTGACCTCCTGAAGAATTGATTGCTAGGAAAAAAAAAATATGCATCCTCTTTCGCATATTTTTATTTATTCATACGGAGCTTCCTCGCCGCTTGCTGAACGCCCTTCCCGCCGACTATATAACATTAGACGATCAATTTTGCGCAGAAAACGAGAAGTGTACGGAAAATGTGGATGCGATAACCCCGCTGTGACCTCGAGTGGACTCTTGACCCCCTTTCGAAAAACACTTAATTTACAGTAATGTATGGTCACCGTGATTGAATGAGGATCGCGTCCCTATTCCGTCGCGATACGATCCTTAATATTAAATTGTCACGTTTATTAGGCCGCCGGGAATACCTTGTGCGTTCAGATTTACGGAAACTGACCGGTCGATCGTCTCTGAAATGAAACCTAACCAACGTTTTTATAAAAACCTTTTTCTTTGCATTTTGTTTGTTTGATCATATGTTCCGATTAAACAAATTTTGATCAAAATCAATTATTACCTACATACAGTTATAAATTATGCGAAATATGTGTGTAACATCATCGCGATTATATGTAGACAGCTATAAAGAGAATTTAGCGTTTGGTTCTCTGGTTCTTTGGTTAAATTTGTCATGCTTGCTTATGGCTTTAAACTGCAATTACTCGTAAAACCGGATAAAATTTTTAGTTGCAATTTCAGCCGTATTGCATTGAAATTGAAGCGAAACCCTGAAAAACAGCACGCGCGTGTTTCACGTTGAAAACTTTTACGCGGCGCGCAATCGACTTTCTAAATTAAATGATGAAACTTTAAGGATTTAAATTCTCGTAAAGTTTTAGACATGGCGCTCTTCAGCCGCTGTTCCGCTGATTGTTCTTATTTCATAAATCCACCGCGGGATTACGATGAGCCCTTAATTAAAAACTAGGACGGGGTACGGTAAATTATGCGTGCTATTAAGGCAGATTACTATAGCCAGTATTACATAGCGCTGGTTTCTAATTCTTCGATTGTTATCCGGTTGTAATTTTTCACATCGTTTACTTAATTGTCCTAATGACGATTTACCGCTACAAGAATGATCGAATGATCTGACGACTTTTCTACACAATTTAACACACTTGAGATTTTATTAAAACTCGCGAAGTGAATCAATTTGCGTACTGAAATTTGTGTACGATTTTTCCACGGCCGCGTGTGGAATCGATCGCTCCCCGAGTGATCCATTTACAAATTGCTAATTAATGTTCATCGAACTCCACTTGGCTTTGTCTCGATCGCAACGGCCTGCCTCACCTCTATTTGCCTCTATGCCTGCATCCGTAGTCCGCGAATCACCACGAATAATTGAAATTAATTGCGCTTCGTCCCGTCTATTCTTTCATCCGCGAGCGTACCGGAGGCAGCCATTGTTCGCCGCGAAAGGATGATTAATGTTTTTCATCGTTGAATTAATTCTCAGCGAAAACATAAACGCCCTTTGTCTTTCCCGACGTAGATTAAGCTCCCAATCTTTTCTTTTTTTTTTTTTTTTTGTTTTTGTTTCGCAAAAGCGCACCCTGCCACCTTCGCGCACCGTCGGTGTAATTTCCCGGGCGATGTAATTTCTGTGCTTTTGTATCGTACAAAGGCGGCATTGCACACGATTGAAAAAGTTAATGATGTTCACCGTTTAAGCCTTCAGTGCACATTGAACTTGTATCACCTTTTCTCATTTCGATGCGAGAGACGGGCTCGATGAATCGTATCCGGCCATCCGATTGTTCTCGCGGCAACGAAATAAATATTAATTTATATACATACGCTTCTCGAGTAATTATACGAATATGCTGCCGATATAGTACCGTATAATGAATCGTATAATTATGACATGCTAATTTATTTACACGTAACATTCTCGGATATCCGAGAAAGATATACGTAACATCATATACGAATCAAAATGGTTTCGTTGCAGCCAGATCAAATTCTCATTATCGTAAATCTAACGGCTTCCGTGGAAAACACTCAGACCTTAACAACCAGATTTCCGCTGTCTGACGCAACACTAGCACACGAGTACACGCCGTAATTGCGCTCGTTCCTCAGCATCTCTAAATATTTATCCAGATTGCTCGTGCGCGATTCCGTCGAGTTACGAGCGGTCACTCCACAAAATTTAACCGCACGCATTTAGAGATCTAGCGATCGCGGAACGTAATTTCCTATCATTCACCGCATTCGCTCTGTCGCCGATGCACTTTGAGTACACGTAGCGTACCTTAACTGAAGGAATAACGAAATCTTTCAAAGAGATGCGGAAACCAACACCGATGCGACGACGGTGAGCGAGACGATGCGTCACAGCCGTTAAGAGCGACATAGGGGGAAGAAAGAGAGAGAGAGAGAGTGAAAGAAAGAGAGAGAGAGAGAGAGAGAGAGAGAGAGAAGAAGAAAGAAAGAGAGAGAGAGAGAGAGAGAGAGAAGAGAGAGAGAGAGAACGGAAAAATTAATAGCCGGGACAAAAATACCCGGTTGCCGAAATGGACAACGCGAAAACAAAGATTTCCTTGCCGGCGAAATATCATCCATCGGCATGTCGTTGCGGCCCAGCGGGAGCGCATCCTCCGGTGAGTACCTATTCTACTTACTGAAAACGAATGCCCGATGCGAATCTCGAAAGCCAGCATGAGCCATTTGATATCGTGTTACATAATTTGCGCTGACGTATGTGCTATAATAAATACGTCAGATTTACGAAAGCACAGAAAGCGCGGCGAATTATCCAGAAATATCGCGCACTTTGCTGCACCCGAATCGAAACATGTGTATCTAGATTTCTTATTCTTAGTCGCGATTTAATTAACGCGACTATTTTGAAATTATTCTCTCTCTCGAAAAAGAGATCTTCGCCTTTCGTAAAAAAGAAGTGACTGTTCCAGCTTGATTTTTCTTCTTTTTTTATATCATTATATTATCTTTAGATTAGTCGTTATTAGAAATAGAATTTAAGAAATGAAATATGCTTTTTGTGAAATATTTATTTACATATGTAGAAAGTAAGAAGTTCAGTAAAAACAGAAAGATATTCACTTTAGACGTTTTAGATATTTTTTATGCGAAGCGAGCTTTAATCGTAGGCGATTATTAATTTTTTAGATTCATTTTTTAGAATCATGACCTTTCTAGATTAACGTACAATATGTTTGTTGCACTAATCGGTCGATTTCGATTCTTTCAACTGTCTCAACAGTTTTCTTATCACGTGTCCATTGGTAATAACCTCCCTGCCATTTCTACGATTCGCAGCGACACATTTCGTGAGTTCATTCCTCATGTTTACGCAATCCTGAGGGACAGACAGGGGAAAAGACTCGGCCGTCATCAAGCCGGTACGAAGTTGATTAAACAGATTCAGGACGACGCATTCCTTCATCAGGATTTCAGAATCGGCTACTTTGACGTCGTCCGCGGCGCAGAGCCACAATATGCTATCCAACCAAGTTTCCTTTCCGAGTTGCTCGAGTGCTTTGTAATTTATACCCAAATCGTGCAACCACAGTGTCAACTGTAACATGGAAGAAAACGCTTGATTTAGATTCGAAAATCGTTTCAACCGGGACACTGACTTTTTTTTTACAAATAATCTATCGTCGATAACGCGAACGGAATGTCAGAACGGAATGTCGGCATCCGGTTAGATATCGCGCGAGCAACAAAAGATATGAAATTATTAATAATATCTATATATCTTTCGCTTCTAATGTCACATTATTATGCAGATATTCTCGATCCGAAGTTACAAAGCTCGAGTCTCTCTTGCGCTCATTTCCGTCGTAATGCTCGGATATATCCGCGAAACGTTCTCTTGGATGAAAAATGCAACGTACTCACCGTGCCGCGACAGCGATACGTAAGAGGATTTCCGGAAAAGCGAAACTTCTCGAGACCAGCCATCGGTGCGAGCTGGGCCGGTTCCAGACATGTCAAACGGTTCTCCGTGACGTCGAGTCGTTTGAGGCCTCGCAGCTTCTCAAATATTGTCGGCTCGATCGACGTAATGAGATTGTACGATAGATCCAATTGCTCCAGAGACGTCAGATCGACGAACCACTGGTCTTTCACCGTCGTGATATAATTGTACGGCAGGCTGAGCTTCTTCAAATGTAGCAGCCCGCTGAACGCGTAGCTGGAAATTTCCTTGATACCGCAGTCGTGCATATTTAGAGAGATCAGACTCTTGCCGTATCGCAAAAACGACCGATCGGATATATTTCTTATCCACGACTTGTAAATCATGATGTCATCCACGACCGAACCGCCGTACAAAATGGCGGTACTTAACGTGACATTGGTACATTTTAGACGCTCGTTAAATCCTGCGCACGAGTAAACATGAAATAACATTTGTTTACTATAACTATAGCAAAGTAACGAAAATAAAATCGTTTAACCACGATAATAATCATTTATTTTTTATCGTTTTGTATTTTATCTGGCACTTGATCGCTTTGTGTAAATTTACAATTTACCAACACTTTCACTATAATTGGAGCACGTAGTTGAACTGAGACTAAGAGAAGGAGACCCTTTAAGAAATAGACGAGATTTTTTTTATTAAATATAGGGATATTGCCTCACCGTTCTCATATTTGCTGGTGATGCACGCTGCGATCGCTACATCTACGAAGACAGAAACGCAAACAAAAACGAGAAATGAGACACGCATCTTGGAATACGTTCTGGCTGTATATTATATGACTGACTGTTCACCGAAAATAGATATATGAACAAGCGAGTAGCAGTTCCTCCTACACTGAATTATCACCAACATTTCCCGTTTTCTTCTCATGATACGGCGCTATCGGTGAAACAATTGTTATGCAAATACGCCATTTGGATATTCCTCTGATTATAAAACTATACCATTAATTGATTATTATTTTTATCTCAATAGACCGTCGTAAAAGTCAGTCTTTATCCCAGAAAAGACAATCATAATTTACGCGTAAAATTCTATTCATTTAAATTCTATGAAAGGCATGATAAAAAAGTTTATATGCATATAATGCGTGTGTCTTGTAACCAATATTGCGCTTAGATAACTTAAAATCATCTAGATGAAGATAAGATAAATTACATTTAAACTTATACTTTTAGGTAAGATAAAGATGATTTAAATCTAAATTTATCTAGATGAAAGATAAAAATTATATATCATTTATTTAGATAATTTTTTAAATAATATTGTTGTTAAGCAAGACATAGACATAGACAAGATATAAAAACAATATTTCTATAAAATTTTTACTATTTATTGATTAGATAGCATAAATGAGGATGCAAAATGCAATTTTTTATATAAATGATTTATATTATTCCAATCATATAGCCAGTGCAATCGCTCTTTGAATAACGTTCGTTGAGAAATATTTAATACGAATTAAATCTAAAATTTAATCGGACTCTTTTATACTTATACATAAAAATTTCGTAATTAGTTGGCATCAAGTAATGTCTGTTATATCACTATAAAATTACCTTTTTTAAAAAAATATAAAAAAGGTGTCAAGTATAGTGGACGCTTAAGAAAAAAAAGAAACTGTTGTACCAAGTTAAAAATAGAATCTAGCTAACAATATCTTTTATTTTAAAGAAATAGAATCTAAGTGATACGTATCTCTATATTGAAGAATCTTTTTACTCTAACTCATGTGGTAGTAGTTTTAATTCTTTAAAAAAATTATATTATAAAATTATGTTACAAAATATCTAATCCAATTCTAGTTGTGATCAAACTAAAAAATAAAATCTAAGTGTTAGTATCTTTTTTAAAATAGTGGTACATCAAATCTTTTTATACAATTGAAATACATAATTTGACTAAGGTGGATTTGTAGTTTCAATGTTTACAGGATTATAACTTGGCGCCAATTATTAATATCAAATCTTTTATACAAATTTTATACATTATTACAATCATTTGAGTTGGCAATATGGAAACAAATTTCTTTTTAAAGAATTAAGACTAGTATCATTTGGGTTAGAATAGGAAGATTCTTCATTGGAAAATTCAAAATTATTTTTTAAAGAAATAAAATTACTACTATGTGAAGGTCAAAGTAAAAAGATTCTTCAGTGAAGATACAAAGATACGTATCACTTAGATTCTATTTTCTTAAAATAAAAGATATTGCGATTAGTTAGATTTTATTTTTAATATCATTTGAATTTAATAGAATAACGCAATTTTTATCGTAGGATTATAACTGGGCGCCAGTTATTGATATCAAATCTTTATACAAATATCATTTGAATCGAGGCAATGTGGAAACAAAATTTTTTTTGTTTTTTAAATTAAAAGCTAGTATCATTTTTGTTAGAATAGAAAGACTCTTCAATGAATACAAAGATTACAAAGATACTAGCACTAGATTTATTTTAGTTTGATCACAACTAGAATTGAGTTAGATATGAAATTTCGTTACATAATTTTTTTTTTAAATTAAAAACTACTACCACATAAGTTAGAGTACCTTCAATGAAGATACAGAGATACGTACCACTTAGAGTCTATTTCTTTAAAATAAAAGATATTGTCAGTTAGATAGTTCTATCTTTTAACTTGGTACAGCAATTTCTTTTTTTTTCACTATACTTGACATTCTTTTTTTACCTTTTTTTGATAATTTTATAATGATAGCAGACATTTTAGTAGTATTAATCTTTCTGTGATCGAAAAGCGCGTCTGATACCTTTCAATAATTGATACCTTTTATACTTGACATTTTTTTTCTATAATACGCACAACGAGAGTAAATAGAGAACGAAAGAACAAGCAAAATAGCATACTTGCTCTTTTTTCCACGCGTTCGATTGGCGGTCGACGATGTCATTGTGTCTCGCGGCGAGTTTGACAATTGCTGATAGTTCATTTCGGAGTATAAGTAATGTTTATGCGCCATAATCTATTATCTTGTAGGTAAGTTCTAAGAAACAATATGAGTATTGTTATTTTGAATGCATGTATTTTTCATTGTATTGTATTTTTGCGTGTGTATATGTTTCTGTATATGTTTCTCTTTAATATTTTTTCTTAATTTATTTAATATTTATTGAAGTATTTCAGGATGTTGCTTTACAATTTTTTTCTGAATATTCTGAAAATGTATGATATGCATGTAATTTTAGTACAAATGCAATATGTTTTTTTATACTTTTATTAATACAATTTCATTGAAAAGGTAATTTAGTTTTATTAATAATCATTAAATATATCTCTTTGATATATTATTTAAACAAATATATCATAATATGGTCAAGAGTTGCACAACAACTCTGTACAGACCATAGTATCTGAATACTTCTAGCTTTGATTTCTGGAAAAAAAGCACAAACGCATATGTAAAAGGACAATATCAAAATGACATATTTATATTGCTTCTTAGAACCTATCTGCAAGATTATGGCGCACAAACATCACTTACACTCCAAAACAAATTATCACCAACTGTCAAACTCACCGCGAAACTCAACGACATCATTGACCGCCAATCGGACGCGCGGAAAAAGAGCAAGAAGCATACTATCTCGCTCATTCTTTCGTTTTCTACTTTCTTATTCTCGTTATGCGTATTTATTAATAATCAATCAATCAGAATCGTGACATAAGGAGCACTGTAGTTAAAGATACATTAATCAATTTTACACAAAATATATTGTACTCTGCCCGCCAATGATTCGCTAGATCCTACAGTGACCTTGACTCATCAGTCCGATGATCCGCTGGAACGATAAGATTAATAATGACACCTCGCGACAGAAATTGCAACCATACAAAGGCGACGACGATAATAATAATGATGGTGACGTTTCTTAAAGTAAAAATTTTCAAATCGGACTTTGCATAGCAATATCTTCGCTCGTAGGGCACGTAGCAGAAAAATAAAAATATTTTTATTATGCAAGTCAAACTCAAGCTATCGATCAAGCTTACTTAGAACTTGATCGGTTTAGCCGTTATTGAGATCCGATAATTTCGGATGCTCGCATCTCGCCGACTCGCATAAAGTCACATGGTAGTGTTCTCGGTAGTGACTTGACACCCGAGACAGTACCGTATCTCCTGATGACTCGCAAACGTTCATTTTTATTCGAAGAATTAGGTCAAATCTACTTTAAATTACATAACTCAGATAATTTGCAAAAGATAACACTTATTTTATCTAAGATAAAGATAATATATATGCTGAATATCTAGATAATTCTCTAGATAATTTTATATAGACAATAAAGCTTGAAACAAAGAAATATTTTTTCCCTCTTTCTGAAAGAAGTCGTGAGGAAGACTCAAGAAGATGTCTCAAACTCTTTGGCCTCTGTTGCATTTGCTTTGCTTCTTCGTTCCAATGCATATGTCGCGTATTGTCAATATGGATTGCTTTCCTTTTTCGACAGGCATCTCGACCCTCGCGAGTTGCGGCGAGGTGGACGCGCTGCCCGAGCTGCCGGCGCAAGATGAGGAACGTCTGCAGCGTGCTGCGCGTCTGCTGCAACAGAGGCTGGTGTTACGTCAATGGTTGACGGACCATGGCCTACATAACTACTATCAAAAGTAAGAAAAAAATATATAGTCTAACTGTGAAGAGATTAACGACGAATAGCCATCGATGTGCGTTTGACGATTCGACCGTTGTCTTTTCCGTTCGTGTTCAATTCGATTACATTACCATTATAATTACATAATTGGAAGTAATTGTATCTACCAATTTATGTCATTACGTCCAGAGAATTCTGGTCAGATAATAATTGTCTTCTTCCTGTTAGTTTCTTGCCTCGGGAAAACAATCCGTGTACGATTATTATTAAAATAAATAAGTCTTCTTTGAAAAGATTACAAAGTGCCAAATACACTCTGAGCATATACGTTGAAGATGTATTTTGCCAGGTTGATGCAAATGGAAGTTATGTCTCTGGAGGATGTATACTGGGTGGAGGACAATGCGGCACGAGCAGCCCTTGGCAAGGATCTACCTCGGTGGATTCAGGCTAGGCAGACGTTACCTACTTCAAAGGAAGATTTGGAAACCCTCAAAGCGGATTTATGGAGTGCCGTTGTAAAGAACAGCCAACACCAAGACGCCTGGACATGGGGTACGAGTCCGTGCACTTCTCTTCTCTATTACGTAAAACGAAACGAATCCTTTTTCTTATCTTTTAAAAAGATCGGAAATTGAATAATCGTGATTTCTATCTTTACACGTTGCGTTCAAAGGACCTTCCAGAAAGATTAGACAATTTGATATTGTGCGCAAAAAGAGAAAGGAAAAGAAACAAATATCTATAAAAAAAAAAGGAAAAAAAAGGAAAAGAATTCTAGAATCCAGACTTTTAGACATAATTCTGCTGCGAATAATTTGAAAAAAGATAGAGGATAATATTAATATAAATAATTTCGAGAGAGCAAATATTTACAAAAAAAAGAATAAAATGTAAAAAAGGGATCTGTTATTAATTATTAATTATCTGTTATTAATTATTAATATTTCATGCTTCAATTATCATTATAATTGAATATGGAATTTAATAGTTTAATGCGCAACACTACAAAAAATAGTCAACGTGACAGCGTCGGTTTTCTATTCATCGAAATAAATAATTTCTCATTATTTTTCTCAATCCTTCCTTGTTATCTATTATTATCCGGAGGCTATTAATTAAACGGGCAAAACTAACAAATAACTCGTTGCACTCGGCAGGCGGTATGCTGGTAGTTTCCGTGTCGGTGGCAGGGCTGGTTACCCTGGCCGCTATGACGCAGCCCGCTCTAGCACCCGAAGCGAAACACTCTCTTCTGCAGTACGTCACAGGGAAATATTTATTGCCGAGTAACTGCCGCGTTCATTTCGAGTGGGAAGAGCCTCAGCTGGTCGGCGAAACGATGACTTTTACGGTTAAAGTGAGTAAAGCGATTGCTTCCGTCGGAATCTTCTCGCGGATATATTTATATTCAGAAGCGAGATAATCTCTGCCGGGAGAGCGAGGCATGCATGGGAAAATAGGTAGCCGCGCATCCGCGAGATGTAAACTCCACGACATTGCAGATGACGAGCGATTAAACATACACGAACATATTTGTACGAGTTCAGTTTAACTCGAGAGAGATAATTTGCGAGGGATAAAGATACGTAAAAGTCATAACGGCTCGTCATTTTGCATGTCGAGTACGGATTAGATGTATGGATGTTGAAACCAACACATATATATATATATATATATATATATATATATATATATATGTATATATATACGAATATTTGTACAAGTTCATTTAACTTGAGAGATAATTTTTGAAAGATAAAGCTAAGAATATATAAAAGTCACAATCGCTCGTCATTTTACATGTCGAATCGAAAAAAAACAGATTAGATGTACGGATACCTGTTTGCAGTTTTATCAGCGCAACGGCCAGCCGTATCCGATATGCGACAAGGATAATCTAATAGTGGAGGTAACAGAGGATACACGCAGAGTAGCCACTCTAATAGAACTGGGAGGCACCGATCCCTTAGCTGCAAATACTGCAGTAGTAAAGTTTACTGTCCGCCATGCGGGACAATATCGAATAGCTGTACTTATCGGATCGTGTCATGTTCATGGCAGTCCGTTTCTTAAGAATTTCCTTCCTGGTACGTATATCTCATGCACGATGCACGATTGTAAAATAATATTCAATAATGTAACGAGAATGCTTCGTGGCCGTTTCGAATCGTCAACTTTTGACGTATTAAAGGTACCTTAAAAATATATAAAATGATTATTAATTTTCAAATTGTGATGTTGAAAGTAGAAGTTTATGTGCGCGTATGTGTGTTTTCCTGAAAATTAAATCGTAAAAATGTCAGCGATAAAATTATTTCTTATTTAATCTCAAGTAAGCTTTGCGCTTTATTTAAAACATAATATTCAAAATAGATAATTTGTAACAAATAATGAATGTCTATCGGCATTTTAACTAAGGAAAAATCGGGAATCATCAAAAGGATTTATAAGTTAATGCTAATAGCCAGATTTGGGATATATTTTGCAAATTTCAGTCATCATTTACGATCATCGTCGTAAGATATTTCGTTTATCATAGGTCCTCCGGATCCGAATAAGACGGTCTTTGTACGACAAAGTTCTACAGTCGTTTGTACAGCTGGAATAGCACATTCGATGACAATAGAACCGCGTGATGAATACGACAATCTGTGCATATTTGGACCTGGGGATCAGCCTACAGAAGGCTATAATGTCAATATTACCCAGGTAAATTGGAAAATATCCCGAAAGTAAAAAAGCATAGCAATTATTTAATTCATTTATTAATAATTTATTTTCCATAGATCGGCAATATAGTAGACAAGGGAGCGATGGTAGATTGTAGCATTCAACTCGACTACGATTCCCCAAATCAGAGAATTCGTTTAAAAGTAAGCTTTCCGAAAGGCGGATGTTATCATGCAACTGTTAGCTTAGCAGGATTGCAGTTGCATAACGGGGATTTTGATATAATTGTGCTCGAAAGTATGTAAAGTATCTTCAAATTCACGGCTCCTATTCCGCTTTTTTATATGACAAAGCCTGTACGTTTCACTTCCTCTCTTGTCATTAGGTTCCGTCGCGAGAATGGTGCACAATAATGTAGCATCTAAAGATCCCGATATCTGTTATGTCGCAAAGCTGTTGGGTATGCAAGGGGAAAGATTTTCTAAACCAAAAAAGGTCTTCTGCTTTATCTCGCCTAAGCAACTTACGATTAAAGAATATTTACTGAAATTTATCCCTAAAAGACTCGTGACATTTAGACTGTGTCCTTCAACTAAGGTATATAGTATAATCGTTAAGATAATTTTACATAAAATTTTGCCAATTAATCGGTTTTAATTCTATCACGGATTCGTAATTTCTTAATTTTGAATCGTCCATTTTAGTTTCATTTTGAAAGCTCGACTAATCAACACGAGGGCTACTACCCTTTCTCGATAGACGACGGATGTCAACCTCCCGTTGAATTAATATCTCTATATCGCGACATTATAGCCGCCACTTTTACCTTGTTTCTTTTGAAAAATATTGGCGGCAGTGAAACGTTCGCTGACAAACAAGACTTTTTCTATCATGAAGTCCGTAAACATCATCAGAAGCATTATCACGAAAAACTCTCGATGAAAGTGCAGCGTGATAAGCTTTTGGAATCGGTAAATAATTATAATTATATTATAATTAATTAATAATGTCCATGAAAACATATATATATATATATATAACATAAAGATGTATATATTAATTATGTTTTTCTTTTTTAAAAGTCTATGAAAGCTACTAAAGGATTTTCCGTGAGTGATTGGTGTCGAAATTTTGAAATCACTTTCCAAGGTGAACAAGGTATGTCTCGATTAATAAATTTTTATATAGATCAATTTTGAGATAATTACAAAATTTATCCGACATTAGGCGTTGATTGGGGTGGTGTGCGACGCGAATGGTTCGAATTGATATGTGCCGCGCTATTCGATCCGGGAAATGGGTTGTTCGCATCATTTGGAGAATCGCAACAGGCATTGGTGCATCCAAATCCCAAACGACCGCCGCATCTTAAATTGAAGCACTATGAATTCGCTGGACGTATTGTAGGCAAATGTCTTTATGAGTCTGCCCTTGGTGGCTCTTATCGTCAGTTGGTGCGTGCACGGTTCACCAGATCATTCCTTGCACAGATCATAGGACTTAGAGTACATTACAAGGTAACGCGTCAAACTTCTTTCTTGTTTCTATGCAAAAAATTAATGAAGTACATAATCCAACATCTATGTCTTTCTATATAGTATTTCGAACAAGATGATCCTGACCTGTATTTAAGTAAGGTGAAATACATTCTCGAAAATGATGTTGAAGAAATGGAATTGTATTTCGTTGAAGAGGAATACGATAAAGATGGACAATTGTTAAAGGTATTGTTATTCCTTGTTGGTTTTTAATATTTATATTTATTTTAAAACTTTGTTAATTCGACTTTTGTAAATTCGAAACTTTGTAAATTCGAATTTTCTTCTATTTCTAAACTCTTCATGCTTAGCCGAAATTTAATGCAACACCGAATGCTATAATTAATATTTATATCTTGTGTATAGGTAGCGGAATTAATTCCTGGAGGTAGTAAGGTCCGAGTAACCAATGATACGAAACTTCGTTATCTGGATGCGCTTGCTCAACACCGGCTTGCTAGTTCCATTCGCAATGAAGTCGATCATTTCCTGCGCGGTCTCAACGAACTGATTCCCGACAATCTCTTAGGGATATTCGATGAGAATGAATTGGAGGTGCGCTAAATCTAATCTATTAAAGAAAATCGAGCCAAAGGCGATATCTCTGCATCTTTATTTCTCTTATAGTTGCTGTTATGCGGAACTGGCGAGTACAGCGTGGCAGATTTACGCGCGCATCACATAGCTAACGGAAGTTCCCCGGAATTTCTCCGAGTGCTCGATTGGTTCTGGACGGCAGTGAGCAATTTCACGCAGGAGGAGATGGCACGATTGCTTCAGTTCACCACGGGCTGCTCGCAATTGCCACCTGGTGGATTTCAACAATTGAGTCCGCGTTTCCAGATTACAGCTGCACCAACGTTCGCTAATTTACCCACGGCACATACCTGGTACGTTCTCTAGAAATATCATCTAAGCATTCTTGTTTCCTTTCAATCATTAATTCATTGTTTTTTTTTTTCAGTTTCAATCAACTCTGCTTACCTGACTACGAATGCTACGATCATTTTGAGCGAGCGTTGCTATTAGCGATTAGCGAGGGTACCGAAGGTTTCGGCATGATCTAATCGAACGTAGAACTCATTGAACGTTAAACTTCTAGTCGAGCCTAACGAAGAATGATATCGTTGACTAAATCAATTTATGTATCTATTTTTTTTTCTGGTGGTGAAACCTGTCTCTTTCATGGTAAAAAATCATTCTTTCGGAAATAGATCTTATCACAAATTTGTCCCATACTAGTTTCCATCAGCCAGGCCAGAAAGCAAGGATAATCTTTATCGCACGTTTTGATATGTAGCAGATTATAGAATTTTTGAAATTACCTTTTTTCTGTTTATGCCGAAGACTATCAGAAACAATCTAATCTTCCGACGATGTAGACAATGTAATTTCTACCATGCCGCGGCGACGTTTTTATAAAACGGAGAATATTCAACAAGAGCAATGTTACCTCAACATCAGAATTGCTCAATATTATTGTATCAAGATTTAGCGTAGTCAAACTTATACGATAGGTTTTACGTGAGCGTAAAGAGAATTAAATTAACGTATTTCTCGGACGATGCTGTAACTAACGTCGCTGTATAAGGATATACAATATAAATCAAAATACATACAAATAATTCTGTTTTCGCAACTGTTATGTGTAAAAAAAGATTGGTGTATATGACGAAGGGGATCACTGTAACGGCATTCATTCCACGGAACATTCCGTTAATCAATCATTAGTCTGAATACCTTCTGTCGCTCTTAGTGCGTAACTATGTGATTTAAATAAAAAAAATTAAGGACGATGAATAATGAGACTAATATTAATTCTAGCTTTATGCCAGTTTAACTCTTTCATTTTATCTCTCTCGCAATAACAAGTACGACGATTATATGGTACTTCCAACGTCGACGATGGCGGATGTAATGTAAGCTAATTAGTATGTACATCCAGTACAAAATATGATTCTGAGACATTACGTATTACATCTATTTCTTATCGACGCAAAATAATCGCGATATAATAAGCATGGTTACCCTAGTCATAACGATAATAATACTGCGATTGTACTGTGAGCATCGCATTCTAGTGTATACGTATTTATTTAAGAAGTGTAATGACATGTACTTAAATAGAGAGGGAATAGTATAAAACGTAGTAATCGCTATAGCAGACTATTCGTCGCGAAATAATGGACGAATAGTCAAAATCGTAAACCATACTACGCCTCGCAATAGCAAGAAATTAATCGCCTCGCCAGATTATCTACCAGATTATCAGATAATACTGGTGGTAATACTGATGGTAATTTATTTTTATCAGTTTATCGTTACGTGAAGGGAACTAAAAAAATATAAGTTAAAAAGCCATAATATTCATCTTTATTCAGTAAATCCCGTTATGCTCTACGCCTATTACATCCATTTCCTTGTGCTTTCGCAATTTACGAAAGAGAAAAATTTATCCTATAAATCTAACTCTCTACGGGACGCAATAAAATCACTTATTTTTCGTATGAAATATGTATGTAACACGTAAGATACGCACATGTTACGTGTATATATAAAATCTACTCCTCAAAAACTAAATTAGTTCAAAAAAAAAATCGCTATGTATCTTAAACGTAATACGAAAGAAAGTTGAATATTATATTTGTTAATTTTTCTACTGCCCCGCGAGCGCCTTTCTTTGCCAATCTTCAACCTCCGAACTCTTATTTCGGCCATAAAGCGTATCTTCCTCTTCATGACCGAGGGCATCAAGTGAACGGTACGTTTTCTTTAACTTATCTCAAATTGCAATCACATGTAATCAAGCTTGAGTTGTTTATCTATATTTATATACAAGATATTGATAAATTATTTTTATTCTGTTCGATTTCTATTCTCGTAAATAATTATTGACAGAATTATTGTATCATTATTAAAAGCAACAATTAAGAATATAACGACAGTTAACGAGATCCTACATTAATTTCTGTTCAATACAATTTTTAGTCAATATCATTTTTAGTTTTATCTTAAACGACGTGAGGTAACCAAAGAGCTTATATACATAGAGTAGTGGAGCCTAAGCTAAGAATGCCTGAGCAGATAGACGAAGACAGAAAACGAGAAGCCCATCAGCATCCTTGTTGCGCACGCAACATTAAACAAGGATAAAGATACGCTCTCTCTATATTTTTTTCTTTCTATCGCCTAACATTTTTACTTACAGGGATCCCTATGCCTTCTCTACTCTGTTTATATAAGCTCTTCGAAGGTAACAGGTACGAAGCACAGGCACGAGGCTTTTGCGTTCTCTCAATTGTTGCAAGTTGGAAATTGCGAATTGCTATAGAGTATACCTACCTACGGCGGCAATGGCAGAGTGGCGTTAGATAGAAACGTAAAAGTTCGTAGGATGGATACGCGCATGATGCTGCCAGCGATCTGCAATATCCGCCTGCTCCAACCACCCTCCTGAGATTGTCGCAGCAATCGCTCTCTCAGCTCGCTTAATTCCGCCCTAACGGGATATGATAAAAAAAAAAAGGTCAATCTCTCGATACTGTTTTTAATCGGAAATAAGGCGATGTGCTCTTTTCCAAAAAAAAAAATGTGTCTTACACTTGCGAGTTATATTCCACTTCAACGCGGCGAAGCTCAGCTTCTCGATTAGCCAACTCACTCTCGAGAGAAATCGCGCGTAAGCTCAGAACTTTTGCGCTGCTTTCGCTAGCTTTCAGACGTTTTTCCAATCTCTGTTTCTCCATCTCCGTAGTTTGCAGCTTCCTAATTATACCGTAAAATTTCTACTATTTTTTAAGTCCCTACATCTGAACGTTCCAAATCTGGATATTAAAGACTTTAGGTGTACTTGGAAGTACGCTGAAGCTGTTCTTGCGCAGACTCGGTGAGAGATATTTGCGCCACTAATCGCAACTGCAATTCCTCGACTGTGGATTCCGCTTTTTCCGCTCTGACACCGCGTTCTGTCGCCAGTGTCTCGCTGGCCGATACCTAAGCGAATATTCTTGTCGTAATTACATATTTAAACGATAAAAAAATATGAAACAATAAGATAATAGATGGCATCACTCGGCAGGATTCGATTCTTGGTATCATATAATTTTTCTTAATTGAATTTATGTTTATAAATTCCAAATTTATAGTAGTGCCATTTATTATCTTATTATTTGAAATTTATCTCGGCTTATTATATTATTTGATAAAAATCTGATTCATGCGAAGTGATAATTATTCAAAATTTTCAAGAGTAGTTAATGTTTGTTACAAATTGCTTAATTAATTTCATCTCCTTATTTTAATTAACAAACGCGAGACAATTCTAGGATACAATTTCTCAGTCAGGTCGTTTACAAAATAGTTAGAATGTAAATATTCTTTAAATGTTATCACAATACTGATCTACAATACTGATACACACAATTCATGTATTAAATGACCCTGAAGATATATTTTGTACCAATTGTAAATTTCCGCGATATCCCGCGATTTCGCGGTGGATAAAAGTTAATAGGGCAAGTGGTATTGATCCTTTTTCCTGGTACGGAAGGAGTATTATGTGATATTGAGTCACCGGTGCGCGTGGCGCGCGAAATGCGAAAGGTGTGACTCATCCATAAGCTATATTTCTTTCGTCGTGCATTGACCTAACGCTGCCTCGCGGGTGGATTCTGAATTTTTAAAAAAATGTCGGACGTCACACACAAAGTGACATCCGACATCTAGATTAAACGAATAGCGTTACCATTAATGTCGCATCAATTATGTGAAATACGCGCGGACAAGTGATAGTACTCATACTTATTGCCGAGCGAAGATAACTTGAACTTTGAACATTTCATTTCAACATTTCATTCAAGGATTTAATATTTAGAAATTGTAGTAATTCAGAATTCATGATAAATCATTGTTATTATTAAGAATTTATCAAATATTGATTCATTTTCCTCCCGTTTTTGCGCGATAAACCGATTTTACATGCTATCAACGTGTACAGATGTCCAATCTCTATGGAAAGGGTGAAGGAGAAAGAAAGAATGAGTCAGTTACTTCGTGGAAAGGAGTTCGCACAGATATCGCGCGTGGGAGAACTCACCCCCTCCCCCAAGAAAGAGGAGAAGGGGGTCGCAACCTCGTGTCTCGGACCGAGCGTAACAATGACTCACCGAACAACAGATCAATTTTTTATCACCCCCGCGAGGTTGCGGATACTATTCGCCCCGGCACTCGCGAGTTTACTATTCATCGAATGTTAAACAAAAATTGAGATTGTTGATTAACTCCTTCACCAGTGTGATGAAAATGAAATTTCCGTGCCACCACTGTATGAAAAAAAAGTTTAGATTTCTATTATGATTTTAGTATTAAGATTTTTGAAGTCGCTGAATCCGAATATGTCAGATATATATCAGAATTTCAAAATTTAAAATGGCAGGTTCAATATAGCGGATCAAATTGAAAAAATAATCGGATTTTTATTAAAATTTATTAAAAATAATTATCCTAAGATTTTCAAGGTCGCTGAATCCGAATATGATATTAGAATTTCTAAATTCAAAATAGCCGACTCAATTTTTTTTATTTTTCTAAATTTTGATCCGTCATATTGGATCCGCCATTTTGAATAAAAACTATAGGATACCAAGTTTCATACAAATCGCAAAAGGATAAATTGGTTTTTTAGGTGTGCACATACACACTAATCTTTTTGGTAATCTTTTTTCTGTACATATATGTTATATACACTGTGAAGAGGTTGAAAAACATTGACAAATTTGGAATATTTTTACAAAAGAAAAGTTGACTCAGAATTAGTCAGAGAATTCCGAGTTCAAAAGAGATACGTTTATTTAGAGATTGCACGGACGATTAATTTGAGTTAAGAAGAGAAAAACTCAACTTTATCCAAAAGTATTTTCTTGTCTTCTCGTAATTTCAAGAGTTTCTCCCGATCTCTGGACATTTGCGTATCGAGCGCTTTTAATTGATCCTGTGCAGTCAAGAGCTCGTTTCTTAAATTTCCCACAGTGATCAATCGCTCCTGAGAGACTTCCTCAACGCGCTTTAGCTCGATCTCCATTTTTTCTTTTTCCTACATCAGAAAGACATACGATTGCATTTGTAATATTAATTATATTAAAATTATATTATTTTAAGATAAGAGATCATTACATTAATAACATAAACTTAAAAAATTATGTTTTTAAAATAAAAAAGAAAAAAGAGCGTCAAGTGTATTTACAGTATAGCGTATGTGCATAAAAATTATTTTGTTACACAAAATAAATTATTATACAAAAAATTGCTGTAGAAAATGTTATATAAAAAAATGTTATTTTAATATAGAAACAATGTTTCACGTAATAATGTTATTTTGATTGTTGTAAAAAATTATGTTGCAGAAGTGCTATTTTATTTTAATTTAGGAAATCTATCTAATTAAAAAAAATTTCTATTAATAAATATTTTAATTCCAAACAAGTTCAAACGAGCAAAATTCAATTCGATGAATAATCGATCGATCGTACCGATTTAAAGGTGTCGCGTTCGCGCATCGCCTCCTCGAGCTGTGATTTCTCACGATGTAGCTCGCTGTTCAGTTTGCCAACCCGGTCATTTTCGGCGAGCAGCAATCGGCGCAGAAACTCGATCTGCAAATGCAGATGTTCCACTTGTTGCTCCAACTGCACAATCTCGGCGCGTTTGCGTCTCCATGCATTCAGCATCAGCACACGGTACACCACGTTCGCCGCCTTGATCGTCGGATCCTCTGTCAAACCGACAGCCTCACCCTGCTCGGATTCCGAGGATGGTGTAGCGTCCGTCCAGGATCTGCCACTACAATAAGCGCTTCCGTTCGCCAAGATGTCCCTGGACCTGTCGCTAATCTCGTCGAGACGACTGGCAGAAGAACCGCTCTCTGATCTGCACGACATTTGTTTTACTATTTTTCTATCATTCCATGATGAAATTAATTAATTAAACTGCATTAAATTTTTTTTGTATTTTGTATTAAATATTTATAGAAATCAAATTTTATATTCCTATAAAAGTTGAAAAAAAAATATCTTGATCTTTTTTGTGATTCACGCGATATAGCGACATAAACAGGTGTGTCCTCGAGAAGCCAGCTCACTTGAGATCACCGATGTTGGAATCGACGGCGGGCAGAGACAAATCCATCATCGACAGACTCTTCTTGCGAGGAGAGCCAAGGCCCAGGAAACCGGGTGGGCATCGGTCGGCGCAACTTTTGGGAATTGACGTTGGAATCCCGCGACCGGCTCGGCTAATCGCAGACCCGACCGCCAATCTGTATGATCTTTTGGGTACGCGATGATCGGTACATCGATAGAGATTTAACCGCGGATGACATCTTACGGATGCGGGAGTACACGGTAATCTACGTTGCACACATCGGGGCAGCTTGGTTTCTAATCTGGTGACGGTCGCGGATCGCGGACCCCGATTCCGTTTCGATAGGGTAGTTGTTTCTGACATATCGCTTACAGTTTGCGCATAAGATTGTCTTCGAATATGATCGAGATTGTTTGTACGCGCCTCTCGTCATGGGGACGAAGCACGAATGCTGCTGGAAACAAATGATTGAGCAGATGTTTACATACAAGGTGTGAATTTCAATACAATTATTGTCAAATAAAAAATAAAATATATATATATATATATATATATATATATATATGTATACGTATAT